ACCACGGGCACCCTGACACATCTCCCCTGAATTCTGCACTCCCAGCCTTGTCCTACTTCTCACACCTGCTTGGAGGGTGAGCAGGCTCTCAACAATGTGCCGTTTTGCAATTAAGACCAGAAATTGCAGCTCCTACCCGAGCTTTTCTTTTTTGATGCAAAGTTAGTAACGCAAAAAGACATCCTTGTTCAGAGCACACGCAGGAGGAAGAGCAAGCCATGCCCAGGGAGCGCCAGCCTGCCCTGACGCTCTGGAGACCAGGCTGATGCACCACCCTGCAGAAGAAGAAAGCTCCTTTGCCCATCCCTGCTCAAGATAACTCTTTCAGCAGGTCATGAGGAGTTCCAACCACCTTGTCCTTTTCCTGGCTCTCCCTGAAGCCTCACTGCTGCCTTAACTGGCAGGAACACCAACACATTTCCTTTTGGCTTAGATCCCTGAACGTTTCAGGGTGGGGAGGGGGAGTTAAATTCTGGTGCCTAATCATAGCACTATGGATAGTTCTTATCAGCTCACAGTTAATGGCATCTTTCCTCTCCAGTGAAAGGTTAATAGCTATGTCTGCTCAATATTCATCAGAAAGAGAATTTATCTAATCTCCAGATTAAATACGAATCAGCAGATGAGCCCAAAGGTGAATCTGCTGACGGATAAAAGCCACTTCAGGGAAAAGCTGCTTCAGGGAAAAGTCTGGAGTAACTCCATGGCCACCGAAGGAGTCCTACACAAACAGTCTCAAGAATTTATCTCCCTTCAATAACACACAGTAAGATTATTGCATCGTTTCCCAGGAGCTCCCTAGCAATTAACTTCCTCACCCACCATTCCACAGAGATTTACTTGTCTTCCACCGCTTAGGTGTCTCACCTGCAATGAGATCCCACCTTACGCTCCAGCTGTCCAGACTGTGACGTTTCCCATTTCCCCCATCATTAGTTATCTTCACCTTAATGAACTCGCCCTGCTCTTGGCAAAACATCCCATACCCAGCCCCTTCCACTCTGAGCAGACAGTCTCAAGGAAATGAATCCTTCTGTTCTCACCCTTTTCTTATTCCTTTGCTATGTCATGTCAGAAAGTGTTTGAAGTTGTTCTACCAGACATTACGAATAAATTTGGTTTATACTCTAAATCCTCACCTCTTTTCTGCTTGTGTCACATGCTTCTCTCCCTGCAGCCTCCTCACACGTGCTTTTGCTTGCCATCATGCTTTCTCATCCTCTGAAGGGGCCGCAGAATTGACATTCTCCAGGCACCATCCTCCGTGGGGACCCACGCTTCTTTGCATGGACTGATGTAGCTCACTGCAAGCCCAGGGACTCTCTACCTGCTGCTCACAGTCATGATGCATGGATCATGTATCTGCTTCACGGTTGTTGTTCTTGGAGAACAGCCTAGAAAAAACTTAGTTTTAATTTTTTTAATAGAGTGTAATAGTTCCTATTGGATTTCTCCTTTGCAAGCACACTGACACAAGTGGGGCAGCAGAGCCAGTACACAAGCTTCACTTCACTGCACAACACTGAGCAGCTGCTAGCATTGGCGTCCATGGAGTTTGCTGGTAGAGAAGACTTGCTTCGCAATCTGTTCAGCTACAAACATCTAATGCAACACTCACAGCATGCCTTGTTCCTCAGGGAGGCTAATTCTGGGCTAAGCCCATCAATCAGACACGTAACTCCTGCCTATGTCCACTGGCATTAACTACACAGATCAAGTGGCGTAACACCAAGTTCTTAAAGCCTCCCTACCTCTTCACCTCCTGCTTCCCTACCACCCAGTTCTCCTGTTTCTACCACAAACTCCTGATGAACAGAGAACAAAGCTGTATATAAGCATTTCACATTTACTGCATATTGAAGGACAGGCTACAGACTAAGTACTCCTGCTTTACTCCAGTGTTCAGGAAAAGCAAGTTTTGGCTGCTCGCAAGTCCCAAATCTCCATTTTTCCTGACTTGGGACTCTCACATGCTCATTCTCCACAAAACAGGTAAGTTCCTGCTGCTGCCCCTTTACTGCAGAGCGTTCAATAAAGGAAGAAGCATGAAAATAATGGAAAGAAACACAGAACGAGACAAGGACAAATGACATCAACAGCTGTACCAGAAAAGCTATCTTTTTATGAACCATAAAATAGAATGGAGGTTTTATTCATTCTGAAGGGAACACGTCTGTTAAGCAATTTCACAGTTAAGGACGTTATCACACACATCTGAACAGCATGTGCAACGCAGTGTACACAGAACTACTGGTTTATGGCTGTTTGAAGAAAATAGGATTGAGGCAATACAGTTAATGCTTTGTAAAAAATAATTATGAATACCATGAACATGGAGGTTTGCTTGTTGGCATCAACATGTTCTGAGAAGGGCAGCAGTAATGAGGACACTGACAAAAAACTATGCCCCATACAGCAAAAACTTTTATCTCCAAGGACACCAGTCCTGTGCCCAGACCAGCTCATCCCAACAGCAGTGTGTATTGATCAGGAAGGACTGCTTCTGGCTCTGCCTAAGCACAGCAGTAATCTCACACGAAACTAGGGCACACTTATCACAGCTGGGGCCTCAAATTTATAATGTAAGGGTCTTCAGTTAGGGAGGCCAAAACTTATCAATTTTAGCCTTAACTTCAACAATTTTGGCAACTGTCAATTAAGGCACCTACTTGCACCTTAGTATTCTCACAGGAGCTATTACTTCTCAGAAGGATGTTTAAAATCCTGCGCTGAGCTGCAGGACCTGCCACTGGCACTCCTCACCACAAGCACTTCACACATTAGATTTTCTCCCTAGGGCACCTCTACCTTGTGAAGCTCAAGCCCGTTTAGTGAATAAGGACAGCAATAGCACTCCTGTGCTAAACTCCTGCTCATTGTAAGGATTTCTGAAGGAGGCTGGTCTGGCATGCAACATTCATATGACTTTTATTGACAACACACTGATTCGGAGCTCAAATCCTCATCCTCCTCAGCAGCACGCTGTTGGGTACCTCTGCTTCAGTCTCGCTCTGCAGGCTTTGGTCTGGGCCTCACCCACACCAACAGCTCATCTGCTGCACACTGTAGTACTCAGAGGGGAACGTGTTTAGCAATTAAACCAGAATTCAGCTCTTTCTCACCACTAAAAGCATGCTGCAGAACCTTCCCTCCCCACCAAACCCCAAACCACTAACGGGCCTTGCAAATGGCCAACAATAGCTTTTAATCTCAATTGGCTTTTAGGTCTCTTGGGTTTTCTCTGACGGATGAGCCAACACAATGGCGAGGAGACATTCACATCTGCAAACCAAGTTCCTGCTGGTAGAGCCATGATTTCCAACTATTTGGCATTTAAAAATTAGCAAGACAAGTAGGGTGTCCCTCCCACATTAATCTGTCCTTTAAAGGAAGAATAAAGAGCAGTCTTCAGATGAAACACTGCTGAGCTGGTTAATTCCTCGTTGCTAAGTTGCTGCTCAGCCATCTGCAGGGGACAGGGAAGCATCTGAGAAGTGACTGTAGTCATGGTTTGACTTCCAGATTTCTATCCACCTAAGAAAGAAACAACAGTTAGGGCCTACGAAGGCACACTGGGACATTGCTGAATGAAGTGAGTTTTAAAGCTTCGAAGGAACAGAACAAAATGACCCTGCCAGGAGCTGCTTCACTTCTACCACAAATCCCAACACATTCTCCCTCGCAGGACTAACCAGAGGATTTGTTTTCTATCACGGCACAACTTTCGCTTTAGTTAGTAGAGAAACAACAGGAAGAGAGGCTGCTAAGAGAGCTCCATCTCTTTCATAAAAGAGGACTTTCAAATTCAACTCCAGATTTCGGATTCCACTCTGAGGGTGGAGTGAAACTTTGAAGCACTTTGAATGTCGGCAGCTACACCGCTTGGGCTGTAGGTTTATCGCTAGGATTCAGATGCCAGAAGAAATGGACCTGCACCTCTGGTTACTGGGGCACTAAACATCCTCTCATAAGCATAATCAAAAATATGCCTTAAAAACTGTGAGCTTCTGTCCTAAGTAGAGTAAACAGCATTTTTCATATTGCACTTCACAGGTCCAAAGGCAAAGTTTAGACATTTGAAGTAAATTACCCAATAATAGCTGCTGGAATAAGAAGAATTATAGCCCCGAAGAGAAATGGGAATCCCCTCATGAAGTGCAAGCTGGCAGGGTAGAGAGAGTTGAACACTCCTGTAGCCACAAGTGAACACAGTCCCTCCACACAGGCAACAGAAGCAAAGAGAGCACCTGGAAAAGATATATTAGAGGTTAATGGTGAAACAGCCCTGCCTGCAAACGTCTTTCACACATCACCTTCAGTGGGATTCTGTGAACCTTTCTAAGGGTTTGTGCTTCCCATCAGAAAGCTGGTGTCTGCATTGCCAAGCGTGGTAAGCAAGAGCTGGGAGCAGACACCAGGCACGCTGGCCTGGCCTGGCAGGCCAAGCCTGTCAAGCTTAGCTTCTCTGTAGCCAGGACCACCTGACTGACCTCCCGAATTTGTATCGCTGGAGCGACCAGGGATATCATCTATCAGCTGCATAGTAAATGCTTCAGCCAGGGCTATCTAGATCTGTTTACTGCCGAGCACATCTTATCGCTTGTTAAACATTAAGTACAGCAAAAGACTGCACTTTATAGATTTAGCATCGTAAATCTGGTATCGAGTGCGCGCCACCTTCATTCTAATATAATAAATATGCATTGTACAAAGTCACCTTTTGATCTTTCCCACATGGATTCCCTCCTCCCCTCTGCCCACCTGCAGAGGTATCCCTGTGCAGTGTTTAACAACAAGTGCAAGCTCACCAAATTACTGTAAGAAAGGTAAATACGCTCCTCCTACGGGTCAACCATGATCCTTCACTAAGGTGAATGATACAACCCTCTAACAACACTGGGCTTCTTCCCACTGTTACTGATCTACAGAAAAGAGTCCTGGTCAGGAAAAACACAGTTTTCTGCTCATTATAGAATCCATTTTAACTCCTGCTCCTTGTAAAAGTTTTGAAAACAAACGGATGAATGAATTATTCCTGAGCTTGAATGAAATACTCTTTCATCTTGCTTTTATTCTCTTGTTCTCATCTAGAAAATGTAGCAGTCTAAATGGATGAATGACAATTATCCTGAAAAAATAAAATGTTACCCTGGGCCTGAGGGTGAATGCAGGAGCAGAGAAGACCCAAGGAGCCAGGGAAGTCCTAACCTCCCAAAGCAGTTTGGTTTCAATGTTCTAAGACAGTGTTTCAGGACCAGGCTCAAGCATAGTGGCTAACTCCTTACCCTGTTCCGTCTCATTGACCAGCTTGGAGAGCTTGGCTCTGATGACTGGAGTGGCTGCCATAGAAAGGAACAGAATCCCATAACCTGTAAGCAAGATACAGCACATTAGGGAAAGCTTAGCCAAAAAAGAAAGTTTCCAAAGTCAATCCCAGAAATCTGCAGCTCCAGGCAGTTTCTGTCTGCTGTATTTAGACCCAGCTCACCCTTCTTCATCTCACAATGCACTATATATAGTCTGTGTTTGCAGCGTAATACTGCTTCTGGGAAACCTAGTATTCTTGGAACTATACAGCTGCACTTTCAACTGCAGTGTTTGGCCAACTTTGCTGACAGTTACCAACACAGTTTTGTTGGTACGCAGGTTGAAACGGAGGCAGAACTTCCTCCATGTGCTTCAACTCCCAGAAGCACACTGCCCTCCTTCATCTACTGGCATCTCTAAACTAAGAGCTGGCAATACAGGGATTTAAGAATTCAGCATCACCTGTAAACATCAGTGCCGTTGTAGTAGCAACAGAAATCACAACCAGTCCAGAAATATTGGAGATCAATCCTAACTCTGCCACCCAGGTGTCTTCAAGGCAGAACTGCAGCAGCCGCAGCCCTCCCAGGCTGCTCAGGTAAGCCAGGTAACTGGCGGCCGAGCCGTACCCAATGAGGTCAGCAGCCCAGCAGAGAGGGGAGCCAAGCTCGTACAAAACAAAGAGGTCCTTGGTTCCAAAATGTACAGTGACAAGGAGAAAGAAAGCCAGGGAGTAAAGAGCCAGCTTCAGCCTGGAGCTCGAGTGTTCTGGGGCCGTGTACAGCCGGTAGACGGCCTTGTAATGAGCGAGTGTGAACAGCTTGGCCGGTTTCTGCTCCTTCACCGATTCCTGAAGACAGAAAGCAGCGTAGAGAGCAGCAGCGAGACTGGCAGCAAGCACGAGCCAAAAGGGGTTGATGTCCCCCTGTGCCTTGCGCCACTGGCCACCGCCAATGCTGGCCAGCATGCCCGCGATGCCGAGGCACGCCTCGAGGACAGCCACGCGAAATGTACGTGCGCGTTTGTCGCTGGTGTCGGCCACGTAGGCAAAGCAGCTGGCCAGGATCAGGTTGTAGTCTCCCATGAGGCCACTCAGGACGCGTCCAAGGAGAAAGTAGGCCACGTGCAGCTGCAGGTACATGACGAGGAGATAGATGGCAGCTTGCACCATACCCACTGCCGGCAGGATGAGTGCCGGACGACGGCCCACGCTGTCGCTCCATGGCCCCAAGAGAGTCACGGAGAAGAGACCAACGAAGAAGCCTCCCAGGTTGATATAGAGGTTCCAGTGAGAAACCAGCGCTTCCACCTCCTGCAAGAAACACAGGCACCTT